TAATTACACTAACTTTACCCTAATTAACCTAGTTAAGCCTTTACATGTCACTTTAAGCTGAATACTAGTGTCTTGAAGAATATCTAGTCTAATATTATTTACTGTCATCATGACTAAGAGAAAATAAATCAGTTATTAGAGATGAGTTATTAAAACTATTATGATTAGAAACGTGTTAAAGAAATCTCTCTAGTGAACAGAAATTTGGGGATAAAATATTCATGGGGGCTAGAAAACTAGATAGAGGAGTTTTGTCCTGTTTCTTTTTGTTTCTAAAGTAAAAGCGAAGGACTCAGATGGAGGGTCAGATCTACAAATTCAGTAGCCCCAAGAGGAACAACAATGAGCAGGAGTGATTTTAGTGGTTCACTTAGTTCAGCATAGAGAATTTATACTAACAAACAAACTGTCCTGGTAGTGTGTCTGCTGCGCCAAATCCGGGAACTCACTTGTGTGGTCCTTAAGGGAACGATCAGGAGAGACAAATGGCTGCTAGATCCATATTTTAAGGTTGGCTATTTTTTCAGCCAGGTCAAGGAGAGAGAGAGTTAAAGTGTTGATCTATTTGCAGAATACTGGAGTTAGCCAAATATGGAGCTTAAAGTATGCAGAAACAGTTGTGTTCTTTTGAATTATTAGCATTTGCAATTTTCATTCATTCATTTTCTTGTCGGCTTAGTCCCTTTATTAATCCGGGGTCGCCGCAGTGGAATGAACCGCCAACTTATCCAGCAAGTTCTTTATGCCGCGGATGCCCTTCCAGCCGCAACCCATCTCTGGGAAACACCCACACACTCATACAATTTTAGCCTACCCAATTCACCTGTACCGCATGTCTTTGGACCATGGAGGAAACCGGAGCACCCGGAGGAAACCCACGCGAAGGCAGGGAGAACATATAAACTCCACACAGAAACACCAACTAAGCCGAGGTTCAAACCAGCGACCTTCTTGCTGTGAGGCGACAGCACTACCTACTGCGCCACTGCCTCACCTACAATTGCAATTTAGTAAAGTCAATTTCATTTGCCGTTTTAAAATAGTTTTGAATTTGAATTTCTTATGCTGAATATTGAACATCAGAAATTAAAGACTACTTATACTGAAGTCAGATTTTTATAGACGCCTGTTCAAACTTCAGACTTTTTGTTTTTGTTGTTTTGTTATTCATTCATTCATTCATTTTCCTTAGACTTAGTCCCTTATTTATCAGGGGTTGCTACAGCGGAATGAATCGCCAACTATTCAGGCATATGTTTTACACAGCGAATGTCCTTCCAGCTGCAACCTAGAACTGGGAAACACCCAAACACTCTCACGTTCACACTCATACAGGGGCGGTTCTAAGATTAAATGGCACCCCAGGGGCGAATCATTCATTCATTCATTTTCTTGTTGGCTTAGTCTCTTTATTAATCCGGGGTTGCCACAGCGGAATGAACCGCCAACTTATCCAGCAAGTTTTTACGCAGCGGATGCCCTTCCAGCCGCAACGCATCTCTGGGAAACATCCACACACATTCACAGACACACTCAAACACTACCCAAGCCTACCCAGTTCACCTGTACCGCATGTCTTTGGACTGTGGGGGAAACCGGAGCTCCCGGAGGAAACCCATGCAAACGCAGAGAGAACATGCAAACTCCACACAGAAACGCCAACTGAGCTGAGGCTCGAACCAGCGACCTTCTTGCTGTGAGGTGACAGCACTACCTACTGCGCCACTGCTTTGCCTCGGCGACCCCCCCCCCCCCCCCAAAAAAAACATGTAGTTGCTAGAAAAAGGACGATTAAATTTAGTAAAAAAAATTATATCATTTATCATATTTTACAATTTTAATAAAAAATATGGAAAAAAACTGAATTTGATTTATTAAAAATATTCATATTTTTTATAAATAAAATTAATATTAATATTATTATTGTTATATATATATATATATATATATTCATGCATTTTGTTGTCGGCTTAGTCCCTTTATTAATCTGGGGTCGCCACAGTGGAATGAACCGCCAACTTATCCAGCACGTTTTTACGCAGCGGATGCCCTTCCAGCCGCAACCCATCACTGGGAAACACCCTCTCATTTCACACAGACACTATGGACAGTTTAGCTTACCTAATTCACCTGTACCACATGTGTTTGGACTGTGGGCACCCGGAGGAACTCCACGCCAACACAAGGAGAACATGCAAACTCCACACAGAAACGCCAACTGACCCAGCCGGGACTCGAACCAGAGCAGTTTAGCACTTTATGCAACGCAAAAGACATATTTCTCATGGAGTTTCTTGTGATGTCCCCACTCAAATAAATCATAAATAAAAACAAATGTCCACAAATACATCAGCAGCGTCTGTGTCTGCAGGAAGCATCTTATCTCCCCCTGCCTGTTCATCTGTCTATGGTTAACCAGATGAGAAAGAGCCTCTTCAGATTCTTGAGAGATGAATCGCAGGCCGGCGTCAGACTCCGTGTCTTCTGGAGACATGATAGAGCCGATCTTCTGGCAGTCTGTGGGAAGAAATCCGATTGTGGGAAGAGCAGTGAGAACTCCAGCGCTGTAAATATGGAGTCAGATCAGTCTCAGAAATAGTACATTTATGAAATAAAATCTATACATGATTCATGTTTGTACGGCAATAAAATAGTTAAGCCGAAGGAAAATGAATGAATGAATTTATTTACTGCTTAAATAGGGACAAGACAAGAAGACTCAGGTCCAGCCAATCACTGGGAAATATGTCTTTATTAAGATAATACATTGCATAAACGGCTTTTCTTAAGATAACATTTAATTCCATCAATAAAATAAAAACATGAATCAAAAAATACAAAAACCTGCTAATTTATAGATATATTTTACAGTGTATATTTTAATTTTAGGATGAGCTATGCCATTAAGTATATCTTTACAATGCCCTTTATGAGAATAGATTACATTCTTATAGACAATAAATAGGTGTATTTTTAATACATATTACATTTGTGGGGCGACACGGTGGTGCAGTAGTTAGAACTGTTGCCTCACAGCAAGAAGGTCGCTGGTTCGAGTCCCGGCTGTTGCACTGCAAAAAAAAAAGCTTTTCTTACTTAGATTTTTGTCTTGTTTCTAGTCCAAATATCTAAAAATTCCTAAATCAAGAAGAGTTTTCTAGACAAGCAAAACATATTGTCTTGTTTTGAGAAATAAAATGCCATTATTAAGTGAGTTTTTCCTTAAAACAAGCAAAATAATCTGCCAATGGGGGAAGCAAAATAATCTTACGTCAAAAGAAAAAACAAGACCATTTTGCTTCCCCCATTGGCAGATTATTTTGCTTGTTTTAAGGAAAAACTCACTTAATATTGGCATATTATTTCTCAAAACAAGACAATATGTTTTGCTTGTTTTGAAAATGCTTCCTGATATAAGAAATTTTAGATATTTAGACTAGAAACAAGACAAAAAATCTAAGCAAGGAATGCATTTTTTGCAGTGTGGCATTTCTGTGTGGAGTTTGCATGTTGTCTCCGTGTTGGCGTGGGTTTCTTCCGGGTGCTCCGGTTTCCCCCGCAGTCCAAACACATGTGCTATAAAGGAATTGGGTGAGCTAAATTTTCCCTAATGTATGTGTGTGAATGAGAGTGTATGGGTGTTTCCCGGTAGTGGGTTGCAGCTGGAAGGCCATCCGCTTTGTAAAAACATACAGTATGCTGGATAAGTTGGTGGTTCATACCGCTGTGACGACCCCTGATTAATGAAGCCAAAAAGAAAATGAATGAATATTGAATATATCAACTTTAAACTTATCCAGCATATGTTTTATGCAGCGGATGCCCTTTTAGTTGCATATATATATACTGAATATACACAGTTGAAGTCAGAATTATTAGCCCCCCTGAATTATTCACCCCCCTGTTTATTTTTATTTTTTCCCCCAAATTTCTGTTTATTGTAGAGATTTCTTCAACACATTTCTAATCATAATAGTTTTAATAACTCATTTCTAATAACTGATTTATTTTATCTTTGCCATGATGACAGTATATAATATTAGACTAGATATTCTTCAAGACACTCCTATACAGCTTAAAGTGACAATTAAAGGCTTAACTAGGGTAATTAGGGTAACTAGGCAGGTTAGGGTAATTAGGCAAGTTATTGAATAACGATGGTTTGTTCTGTAGACTATCGTAAAAAAAGGGGCTAATAATATTGACCTTAAAATGGTTTTTAAAAAAATGATAACTGCTTTTATTCTAGTCGAAATAAAACAAACAAGACTTTCTCCAGAAGAAAAAATATTATCAGACATACTGTAAATATGTCCTTGCTCTGTTAAACATCATTTGGGAAATATTTAAAAAAGAAAAAAATAAATAAAATGGGGGCTAATAATTTTAACTGTGTGTGTGTGTGTGTGTGTGTATATATAAATATATATATATATATATATATGTACAATCTACTCACAAAATTTTGTTCCCCCTCAAGTGATTCAAAACTTTTTATGAGCTTCTCTTCTCTGAAGAAAGTTGCCATTGATTTCCATAGTGGGAGAAACAATGGAAGTCAATGGTTACCGGTTTCCAACATTCTACAGACTATCTTCTTTTGTGTTTGGAACAAGGTAAAGGTCAGTAATTGATCACATTTTTGGGTGAACTATCCCTTTCAACTGCTTGAATGCATATGCAACACTCTCCAACTCCACACACTTCTCTTTGTTTGATACGTTTGTGGCCGTATGCATACAAATAAAAGCCAAAGCCAGTGTGAATTTGTTTGACAGACTGCTGAGACTTGTGGCATATGGGGAAGTAGGCTGGACATGATCCAGAGGGCTGGAAGTTATACAGAAAAGAAAAAGAGAGAGGAAAAAGGAGGAATGACTGGTGTGCGGGGTAAAGGAGAAAGAAAAAGAGGGACGGGGCCCCAGGCAGCCTGCCCTGTCTTTGTTTACGACAAAAAGACATTGTTTGATGTGGCCGTTGAGCCTCTGCTTTAAACCAGGCTTCTTCTGCTTCTCCCACAGGATGTGTTGAGGGTACGCTGCCAGACAGAAAGCGAGGACTGCAAAACTTGTACACCAAGACATTGAGAGACACGGTCAGGACATTGAAACCATTACCGTTCATCCAAAAAAATAATACAATTGCGAAGTTTAATTAATTTATTCACAACACAATTTGCATTTACAAAAGCCAACTCGTGAGTTTAATACACAATTCATAAGTACGCAAATCCAATTCGTAAAATTGAAACCACAATTCGTAAATACACAAATTTGATTCGTAAACTCACAAATCCAAATCATGAATACAAAACATGATTCAAAAATGCACAAACCCAATTCGTAAATTCAAAACACGATTTAAAAATACCCAAATACAATTCGTAAATTTAAACCACGATTTAAAAATACACAAATACAATTCGTAAATTTAAGACACGATTCAAAAAATGAATAAATCTGATTCGTAATTCAAAAAACAATTGAAAAATACCCAAATCCGATTCGTTAATACAAAACGCGATTCAAAAATACACAAATACAATTTGCAAATTCAAAACATGATTTAAAAATACACAAATCTGACTCATAAATTAGAAACATAATTCGTAAATATACAAATCCAATTTGTAAATTCAAAATGCAATTCAGTATTAAACAAATCCAATTAGTAGGTTGAAAACGCAATTCGTAAAATACACAAATTTAATTCGGAAATTTTAAATCCCAATCAAAAAATTCACAAATTCAATTCGTAAATTCAAAACATGATTAGTAAATTCACAAATCTGATTCATAAATTCAAAACACAACTCGTAAATACACAAATCCTATTCAGAAATACAAAATGCAATTCAACAATATACAAATCCACTTTGTAAATTAAACACGCAATTCAGTAATACACAAATCCAATCCGTAAATTCAAAAAACGATTCATAACCAAACAAATCCAATTCGTGAATTCAAAACGCATTTCATAAATATTCAAATCCAATTCGTAAATTCAAAACACGATTCATAAATACACAAATACAATTCGTAAATTTAAACCACAATTTAAAAATACACAAATACAATTCGTAAATTTAAAACACGAATCAAAAAATGTATAAATCTGATTCGTAATTCAAAAAACAATTGAAAAATACCCAAATCCGATTCGTTAATACAAAAGGCGATTCAAAAATACACAAATACAATTTGTATATTCAAAACATGATTTAAAAATACACAAATCTGACTCATAAATTAGAAACATAATTCGTAAATATACAAATCCAATTTGTAAATTCAAAATGCAATTCAGTATTAAACAAATCCAATTAGTAGGTTGAAAACGCAATTCGTAAAATACACAAATTTAATTCGGAAAACTTAAATCCCAATTAAAAAATTCACAAATTCAATTCGTAAATTCAAAACATGATTAGTAAATTCACAAATCTGATTCATAAATTCAAAACACAACTCATAAATACACAAATCCTATTCAGAAATACAAAATGCAATTCAACAATATACAAATCCACTTTGTAAATTAAACACGCAATTTAGTAATACACAAATTCAATCCGTAAATTCAAAAAACGATTCATAACCAAACAAATCCAATTCATAAATTCAAAACGCATTTCATAAATATACAAATCCAATTCTTAATTCAAAACACGATTCATAAATACACAAACACAATTCGTAAATTCAAAACACGATTCGTAAATACACAAATACAATTCGTAAATTCAAAACATGATTTATAAATACACAAACCCAATTCATAAATTCAAAAGATGATTTAATAATTCACTAATCCAATTCGTAAACTCAAAACGCAATTTAGTAATACACAAATCTAATTTGTAGGTTAAAAATGCAATTCGTAAATACACAAATCTAATTTAGAAGATTTTAAACCATGATTAAAAAATACACAAATCTGATTTGTAAATTCAAAACACAATTCATAAATGCAAAAATCCCATTCGTAAATTCAAAACGCAATTCAAAAACAAACAATACAATTCCTAAATTCAACACGCAATTCAGTAATACAAAAATCCAATTCGTAAATTCAAAACTCAATTCAAAAATACCCAAATCCAATTCGTGTGTTGTACTTATGAATTGTGTTTTGAGGATTTAGTGAATCGTGCTGTGCGTGTATGAATTTTATTTTGGAAATGTGTTAGTTTTGATCTGGCTATAGCTTTAAACCAGGCTTCTTCTTTTGCTTCTCCCACAGGATGCGTTGAGGGTACGCTGCCAGACCGAAAGCGAGGGCTAAAAAACTTGTACACAAGAAAACGCTCAGGACATTGAAACCATTACCGTTCGTCCCTTACGTTATATCTGCCACCCCTGGGACCTGCACTCATCGCCGGGCTCCGAACTCCTGGAACAAAAGCGCAATTGTTAAACAGCCAAGTTTTTCTTTTTTGTCTCTCTCTCTCTCTCTCTCTCTGTCCTTATTTAGAATGCAACCAACAGGATTGGTATGATTTGCCAAATACGAAATGCTTTGGTTTGAGGGGCAAAAAAAAAAAAAAAAAAAAGGATTTTGGAGGACTTAACAGAATCCTACAAAGACTTTAATTCTGCACAGCAAAGAAGAGTTTGCTGGAAGGGTTTCCTAAAAGTTTTAGTTTTCTTTGCTTCCTCTGAATTCCCACAGTAGTGAGTTTGTGTGTGTGTGTGTGTGTGTGTGTGTAGCCATCTCCTAACATGAAGCCATTAGGTGCATTTAAATCAAGTTGTTAGAGTGGCCGACTGTAGTATTGGTAGCTTAGCAACCAAAAGTAAACAAAGCAAGTCTAAAACCCCCTCAAGTAAACGTAAAAAATCAACACAGGCTCATTCTGAAAGCATACCCTTATATACATTTCTGGAGATGGTGAATTATGTAGCCAGAGGTATGTATGGCTGCATTTCATCTTTAGAACAAACGCTATGGGGCGGTATGAGACTTCCTTTTCACGCTACCAGCTGATCGCTTACCTCTTTGTGGACGGCTTCACCACTGTTATCTGTTTATCCAGTTAGCTCGCCATGTAGGTTGGCGGACTTGAGATGCAGAAAGTTGACCAGGACGATGGGCTTCAAATCTGGCAAAGAACAGTTCCAGAAAGCAGGTACAAGAAACAAAAGCCAAAAATAAAAAATAAATAAACAAGTGGATAACAGGGTAAGAATGTGGTAAAATCTGAAAACGTTGTAAAAATCAGGTGAGGGCTTTTTTTTTTTTGGATTGCTTTTGAAAACACTTGTTGTGTTTAGGGGATAAGGGTGGGTCAGTCAGTTGGTCAGTCATTCAGTCAGTCAGTCAGTAGACAGCGGCCTCTGGGGGATTTACACAAGAACAGCAGGCACAAATGGCCCTCGCAAGAGAAATCTGAGATCTCTACACAGCGCCCTCTGGTGGATTCGTGAAAACAAAAACTGCAAAAAACCTAGCTCCTGGGATTTACTTGGCGCTCTCCAGAAATATATATAGAGGTACGTTTTCAGAATGAGCCTGGGTTTTAAAAACTATTTAGCAATTTAAAGTATTTTTGTTCTAAATTTGGCGTCACTCGTTTCTCATGCAGGATCTCAACATGTGACAGTAAAGAGGAGTTTGCTGGTAGTGTTTCCTAATACTTTCAGTTTTATTCAGGTTCTCTGAATTCCCACATGTGTGTGTGTTTGGCGAAAAGGAGCATTTAAATGTGTGTGTGTGTGTGTGTGTGTGTGTGTCTCCAAACATGAAGCCATTAGGTGCATTTAAATCAAGTTGTTAGAGTGGCCGATTGTAGTATTGGTAGCTTAGCAACCAAAAGTAAACAAAGCAAGTCTAAAACCCCCTCAAGTTAACATAAAAATCTATATAGGCTCATTCTGGAAACGTAGTCCTATATACATTTCTGGAGATCCTGAATTATGTAGCCAGAGGTACATATGGCTGCATTTCGCCTTAAAAATGAACGCTATGGGGCGGTATGACACCATTCCTTTTCGTGATACCAGATGACCGCTTACCTCTGTGTGTATGACTTTCTCGCTGTTACCAGTTTGCCAGTTAGCTCGCCATGTACGTCAGCCAAAAAATAAAATAAACAAGTAAATAACAGTGAGAATGTGGTAAAATCTGAAAATGTGGTAAAAATCAGGTGAGGACTTTTCTTCTTCTTGCTTTTGTAAACACTGCAGTTGGGATTAGGGGAAGAGGAGGCGGGGGCTCAGTCGATCAGTCAGTCATTCAGTCAGTCAGTCGACAGCAGGCTTTGTTGGATGTATGTGAGAACAGCAGGCGTGGATTTGGCATCTGTAAAAGCATACACAGCGCCCTCTGGTGGATTAGCGAAAACAAGAACTGCAAAAAAACGTAGCTCCTGTGATGTATTTGGCGCTCTCTAGAAATGTATACATGGGAAAATTTTTAGAATGAGCCCGGGCTGTAAAAAGTATTTTTATTCTAAATTTGTTCACTTGTTTCTCATGCAGGATCTCAACATGTGACAGTAAAAATGAGTTTGCTGGAAGTGTTTCCTGAAACTTTGATTTTTCTTCAGGTTCTCTGAAATACCACAGGTTTGTGTGTGTGTGTGTCACCTAACATAAAGCAACTAGCTGCATTTAAATCAAGTTTTTAGAGTGGCTGAGCGTAGTATTGGTAGCCTAGCAACCAAAAGTAAACAAAGCCAGTCCAAAGCCACCTCAAGTGAGCGTAAAAACTATTTTGCAATTTAAAGTATTTTTATTTTTATAAATTTTAATAATATTGATATTTTTATGGGGCGTGGCAGTGGCGCAGTAGGTAGTGCTGTCGCCTCACAGCAAGAAGGTCGCTGGTTTGAACCTCGGCTCAGTTGGCGTTTCTGTGTGGAGTTTGCATGTTCTCCCTGCCTTTGCGTGGGTTTCCTCCGGGTGCTCCGGTTTCCCCCACAGTCCAAAGACATGTGGTACAGGTGAATTGGGTATGCTAAAATTGTCTGTAGTTTATGAGTGTGTGTGTGAATGTGTGTGTGGGTGTTTCCCAGAGATGGATTGTGGCTGAAAGGGCATCCGCTGGGTAAAAACTTGCTGGATAAGTTGGCGGTTCATTCTGCTGTGGCGACCCCGGATTAATAAAGGGACTAAGCCGACAAGACAATGATTGTATGAATGAATGAATAATATTTTTATTAAAATAATAAAATCAATTGCCGTCACTTGTTTCTCATGCAATATTTCAAAATCCTCAAACTTAGTCTTCTTTGGGTTCACTTCATTTACACAGGTGTGTGTGTGTGTGTGTGTGTGTGTGTGTGTGTGTGTGTGTGTAGCCATCCTAACATAAAAGTGATTAGGTGCATTCTAATAATCAAGTTATTAGAGTGGCTGGTTTTAGTATTGGTAGCCTAGCAACTAAAAGTAAACAAAGCAAGCATAATGGAATCACATGGGTGTAATGTTCACTATGTCAGGGTCTAATCGTCTCCATCTTCCATAATTTGTATTAACAATTTTCTCAAGTGAATTTTTTCAACTCAAGTGAGTGTGTGTGTGTATGTGTGTGTGTGTGTGTGTGTGTCTGTGTGTGTGTGTGTGTGTGTCTGTGTGTGTGTGTGTGTGTGTGTGTGTGTGTGTGTGTGTGTGTGAGTGTGTGTGTGTGTGTGTGTGTGTGTGTGTGTGTGTGTGTGTGTGTGAGTGTGTGTGTGTGTGTGTGTGTGTGTGTGTGTGTGTGTGTGTGTGTGTGTGTGTGTGTGTGTGCTCAATGAAGAAATGCATGGATGGTCATAGAGAAGGGCTTTTGAGCAGTAAGATAAAGATCGGTGGTTATGAAATGTAAGTTTACTGTGTTTATGTCAGAATACTTTCTCTTTGTATTCCCCACAGTGCAGCAATAATCAGCACGTCTCGAGTTTTTGGGCTTCTTCATGGTCTGCTGAATGTAATTAGTTCATTCTAATAAGTTGCCTTTCAATATTGTACGGCTGAACTGAATAATGGCACCTCATTATACTCATCTCATCGTTTACAGTTGAATCAAAGTTATGTATTTTATATATATTGAGGCAGCACGGTGGCGCAGCGGGTAGCATAATCGCCTTACAATAAGAAGGTCGCTAGTTCAAGCCTTGGCTAGGTCAGGCATTTTTGCATGGAGTTTGCATGTTCTCCCCGTGTTGGCGTGGGCTTCCTCTGGTTGCTCCGGTTTCCCCCGCAGTTCAAAGATATGTGCTATAGGGGGATTGGGTAGGCTAAACTGTACATAGTGTATGTGTGTGAATGAGTGTGTATGAATGTTTCCCAGTGATGGGTTGCAGCCGGAAGGGCATCTGCTGCATAAAACATATGCTGGATAAGTTGGCGGTTCATTCCGCAGTGGCGAACCCTTATTAATAAAGGGGCTAAGCCTAAAAGAAAATGAATGATTGACTATATATATATATATATATATATATATATATATACACTTTTAAATGGTGATTCTTGTTTTACTCTTATCCGAGTTATGAAATATAATCATAAAAATGCTGCTTTTTTTAACTACACCCTGCTGAAAAAACAGCTTAAACCAGCCTAGGCTGGTTGGTTGGTTTTAGTTGGTCAACCAGCCTGGTTTTAGAGGGGTTTTGGCCATTTCCGGGCTGGTCTTAGCTGGTCAGGCTGGGAGATGACCAGCTAAAACCAGCTTGACCGGCCTAGCCAAGCAGGGAGCCCAGCCAAATCCAGCTATGTCCAGCTTAAACCAGGCTGGTCAAGCTGGTTTTAGCTGGATTAAGCTGGTCACAGTCCAAACACATGCGCTATAGGGGAATTGATGAACTAAATTGTCCATAGTGTTGGGTGTTTCCCAGTACTGGATTGCAGCTGGAGGGGCATCCGCTGCGTAAAGGATATGCTAGAATTGTTGTTGGTTCAGTCCACTGTGGCAGCCCCTGATAAATAAAGGCTGATTTATACTTCTGCGTCAAACGCCGGTGGTCGTCGGCGTCGCTGACGTGCACCTCTCAAAAATTGTAACTACACGTCGCAACGACGCATAGCGCAAGCTCTGTGATTGGTCGGCTTGATAGCTTTGACGAGTCTGGGCGGGACCGAGAGCCGCGCAAATGGCGCGAGCTGGACGCGAGCCCAATGGAGCGATTGTTTACAAGTGTGGAGTCCCGTGAAGGAGCTCCGGATGGAAAGTTTTGTTTTGTGTTTACCTCATAGTTAAAGTTGTTGCACGTCCGCCGGTTCCTGCCTCAAAATGAGCGAGTTTGAGGCACTTGTACATCCAGGAAGTGTTCAGGAAAAGCAAAACAGCAGAGAAGAAACTCGACACAGAGAAACATTAACACCTCACTGCCCACTAGCGTTTCGGAAGTGTTAATGCAGACCAACAGAGACAGTGCGCAGAACTATAAATGCACAGCCATGCGCGGTGCATGCGCCGTGGGTCACGCTGGTCACTTGACGCAGAAGTATAAACCAGGCTTAAGTTACTAAGCTGAAGGAAAATGAATGATTAAAAGCACACAGGTTGCATCTTAGGACTGCCGGACCCCATGGCTGGAATTGATTAGATCCCTAAATCCGCCCCGGCATATTGGTCAAAGAAACATGT